TGATTTTTTTTCTCCTCCATCTTAAGCAGTGAGGTCATGATCACTTATCTCAAAAAGCTGTAGAATGTGTGCATGTGATTTAGATTTTTAATATAGCTTTAAAAAATTTCAGTCAAACGGTTATGATGTCTGCACTGTGACAGTTTAAAGTGATGTCTAGCACAAGACATCATGACACAGACATGTGGGTGATGTCCCACCCAGTCACAGTATCCTGACACCAGGCAAACCAGTCCTAACACTAACCTCTTCATGCTGAGTGCTAAGTGAGGCAGCTATTAGTACCATTTTTTTATAATCTTTAATATGACTCAGACAGTGTTCGAACCCATGACTTCCTGCATCTGATGTGGATGCTCTAACCACTAGGCTACCAGAATGGTTCAGCTATAGAATAAATGAGTAGGAGAGAAAGATAAAAACCTTAAAACTATTGAATACCAATGAAAACAGCAAGCCCAATATTGAATACAACCCAGCTTCTAGTGATGATGAACAAGTATGCCAAATTCTTCCTCCTAAATGGCTTTAAAAGTTATAGACTGGATGGGAAAGTGTGATGAATGCATAAAATACTGTCATGACCTTGACCCTGGAAACATCAAAATTGAATGATGACCTTGACTTTAAGGATAACATCTCCAATTTAGGCAAATAACACACATACCTGTGATGCCCTAATCTCAAAAGGCTTTAAAGCAATGGATTTGGTGGGAAACTAATGCATACATAAAATACTGAGCTATGACCATGGCCTTTAAAATAGGACCCCCACTGCAGTACACCACCTACCATTAAGTGATGATGTACAAGTATACAAAATTTCACCACAAATGCTTTAAAGTAACTTAGCATAGTGTTGTGTTCTTGACCTTGGTCATATGATACTGCATTACACACCTCTGATGATTATGTATAAGTTTCATTCCTTAATCTCCAAACAGTTTTAAAGTTATAGAGCAAAACAAATGTGATTGATGGACTAATAAACGTACAGTTCATAGTCTCCGCTTTTTTCTGAAAAGGAAGGGGACCATAAAAACAATAACCACAAAACAAACAAACTTAACAGACAAAAAGAAATATTTAATATTAACCAATTAGGTGAAAATTTTCAGCTTTTCCCTACAAGAAATATATATATATATATATATATATATATATATATATATATATATATATATATATATATATATATATACAAAAAAGCATATTTATGCTTGTAATGACAAGTACTTTGGTCAGGCAAAACAGACAAGATGCCCAAGACTGCTCACCTGGCTAACATGTAATAACTAAATGCATGAACACTTGGTCAGACATCTCTGCAAATACATGTATGTTGTTTTCTATAGATATCTAATCCAATGCTGTTGATGGCATATGTTATGAAAACAAGGTATCTCTTTAGTTTGTATCTTCATTCACAGTTGATCACACATCAGCATCATTTGCAAAATACTTAAAAAGTCCTTATGTCAAAATGCTTTCTGTGAATTTTGGTCAAATTCTGTTGAAAGCTTTTTGAGGTTGGGTAGTCAGTAGTGTTGTTTTTATTGTCATAGGGTTCAATGCCATTTTTCAGCACAATATAGGTCATACATGGCAGCTAGCATAAATGGTGGAGGAAGAACCCAGGAAACCCCTGGAAAGAACCACTGACCCATGAGAACCTACTGGCAAGCATTCTCACATACACACATTGGCCATGCCTGAGATTTGAATCAACCCATGCAGACAGGTGCAATGGCAGTGATCCATAATGGTGAGTACTTTAGACTACTTGGCCACTCTGGGCCCCCAGCCCCCAGTAGTCATTGAAAGGCTTCTCTATTTTTAACAATGTTGACCATTATCTGATGGAAAATCAGCATCATCTGTAACAGTTTGAAAGCCCCTCATGTTGAGATGCATTCTGTCAAATTTAGTCAAAGTCTGCTGAGTGGTTATTTAAAGAAAAGTCAGCTAAAGTTTTTCTATTCATTTCATAATCAAATGACCATAATAGATGGTAAATCAACAATATTATCAAAATCGGAAAGTCATTCATAGTGAATGCTTTGTCAACTTAGATCAAATTCTGTGAATTGGTTTTGAGAACAAGTCATTAATGGATTTGCTGTTTTAGTAATGACATGATCGAAATCATTTATGTTAATTTAAAGCACTTTATGATAGGATTTGGCCTAACTCTGATATGCTGTTTTTGTGAGAGAAAAAAAAACATTTACAGGTTCTTATATTTTTGGTAATGGTGACTTGGAATCATTGGAACAAACCCAAAAGCTCTTCATGTCCTAATGATATCTGTTAAATTTTGTTCATATATATTAAGAAGTATTTCAAAAAATGGAGTGTAATTGTTCTGTCTATAATAGAGCCATGAATGATCATAGTCAATCAACTGTCTGTCTCAAACTTTAGGTTTATAGTCTTTTGACCAAGTAAGCTGATAATTATAAAGTGTCTGTGTGACAGTACTGGTAGAACAAGAGGAAGTAGAAAATGCATAAAACAACTCATAATCTCTGGTGCTACATACAGTAATGGGAATGTGAAAAGATCTGGAAGACAAAAATGATTGGATGACACAAGGTCAAATGAAAAATCACTGTATTATGCAATCAGAGTGGCAAGATGCTGACTGCTGGACAAGATCCTGTCAGCTGAGCTGTGGTGTGGTGGATCACTGGTTATTGCATCAAACATGATATCAGAAGTGTGTGAATTCCCACTATCAGAACAGCCCTGACTGGACTGTGGTGTGTCCTTGTGTAATGCACTCTAATTGCCCCTGTATATGACCCTGAAAGTTTTGCTGTGCAATAAAACACCAACTAAATCCTTTTGCTTAGTGAAGGATTGAATTAACTCATTTCATACAGCATGTTGTGGTACCATAACTACATCAGACACACTCATTTATGGTCAATCATTACTCATTTAGAAAACAAATTCATTTGTGTTCTGGGAATGTTGCAATATATAACAATTAATGTATGCAATGCTTCTTTTGCTGCATGGATTCACCTATATATTTTCAGTTTATTTATTTCACTAATGCTATCATAATTCTTACTGTATCTAAGAAAAGTATTGTGATACAACATGTCTGGCAATATCCAGCTCTTTGTAAATATGTGGATTTATTATTATGAAATTAGCCATTACTTGCAGTATTCCCCACAATGACCATTTCATTCAGTGCTGTGAATAGGTGTTTTCTGTGAGGCAAATATTTTAAAATAAAAACTAAGACAGCATGCATAAATAAAGTAATATGTTGTATAATCAACACTGCATCATAAACTGAAAGTGCACCTCTTTTCAAGTGCTTAACAATCAAGATGAACTATGTAACACATATCATAATTGATTAGTAATATTTTGAGAGTTGCCTCCACTGTCTAAAGGGAAATAATGATATTTTTCTGCTGCCAGTCTCATGTTACTATCACTAACACACAAACTAAATTATCAATACCCTGTCTCTAAAAAGTATTGAATAAACTCCTGACATTTATTTACCTCTAGCTGCACTTCTCAGGTTTATAATTTTTCCCTCATTTTGGCACCTATGTATTTTCATTCAAATTTTCAATTTTTTTTTTTCATGTCAAAATATATAATGACTGGCTTTGAAATTCTGGGCCTACAGGTGGCGCTCACCAGTTATTACGTACTTTTGAGAGAGTGATGTATGTAAGGTGAAGTTGTTTGCATTTGAAACATGCACAGTGGAGAGAATGTTGGCATACCTATATACTACTTTTATGTAATGTGGATGAAATTTCTTTGGATTTTGTACTTTTGGAAATTTTAAATGATCTTAGGACACTGCTAACTAAAATGACTGCTCCCTTGTGCTCCAAAAATCAACCTAAATTTGTCTTCTTGGCAGCTATTAAAATATGGAAAATGAATTTTGCCAAACTAGATAATACCAGCTTCTAAAAGTTCAATGACTGAATTACCAAATACATAAAATGTAAAAAAAAAGTTATTGGCTCTTTTTTTTACAATTTACCTCTGAAGTTGAGAAGTAAAAATGAGCAAGTAGAGCTAGCACGTTTTTGAAAGGTGCACATCTGAAGTAAGGCCAAGCTGTATACTCTCTAACCCATATTACACCCATCAATCATACATCAAAATAAAGGGAATTAAAGGTTCTTTGAACAAAACCTAAGATATACAAAGTCTCTTTTAAATAACCAGTATTACTAGTGAGGAAGCCCGGGGAACTCTTTTTCTTTAAAATTTTAACCCTATGCTAAATATGAAACTGTAGAGCGCCACCACAGTCAACTTCAAAATATTAAATATCCCATAGTCCCTATAAGAATTCATTTTTATTCATATAGAATTTCATAAACAGTTATTAGATCAAGCAGCACAGTAAATGACCCAAGAATTTAATGATTCTGAATCTTCCTTGCTTTTGGTGCTGATAATAAACTCACATCAGATGTTTGGCCATATGTTATCAACATGTTCTATATCTTGCATTAATTCCCAATGTCCAGATTGTTCTGTAACGTTTACTTTAGTAGGCATTAGTTATTTTGATTGTTCATTAAAAAGTGCATGTGCAATCATTCTTCAAAGGTAGCATGACACAAGGAAAGGTATAAGAGGTTGGAACTTATGACAGTCCTACAAAGATGTTTCACCCAGGTATTTATGATGTTGGTGGGGTGGGAGTGGCATCTTACTGCCAGCACAAATGGGATTGTGTAGTGTGTGCATGTGTCAGTCAAACAGGGAAAGATGTGATGTAATGATTTTTAATGTAGCTTTAAAAATTTTTTTAGCCATATCACTACGAAGTCTGCAGTGTGGCTAGCTAGTGATATCTAGCACTGTGGCATCATGCAGAAGACATGCAGCATGATGTCCCACCCACTCACATTATCCTGTCACCAGGCTGACAAATCCTAACACTAACCTCTTAATGCTGAGCGCCAAGTGAGGAAGCTGTCAGTATCATTTTTGTAAGTCTTTGGTATAACTCGAGTGGGGATCGAACCAACAACCTCCCACATCCGAGGCAGACACTCTAACCACTAGGCCACTGGAGCAGTTACCAGGGAAGGAACTTTTAGAGCAAATTTTCAAGAATCTCTCACACCAATATTGACACAGTTGTAAAAATAACAATATAACTACTTTAGTGGACAATAATTAATCTTTGTCTTTTTCTCATGAAGTCAAATCCTGCCAAAAGCAAGTGAATGCATTATCAAGTTCAGATTCAATTTGATGAAATGATATGGTAGCCAGGAAATGCAACAAGTCTCTATAAATACCAAAAGAATTGGACTGTATATACTCAATGTGAAAAACTCATGGTCAAAACTGGAAAATGAAACCTTGACATATCATTTGTGTTGTGTTATCAGTGGTGGTCAGTACACAAAAATTTAGAATAAACATCGTGAAATCGCAAGTAATCACAAATTTGGCTACATGTTCTTGTAAAATATTTTTCACAATGCATAATAATATACGATGAACTTATCAGTCAATTAAAATGTCTATAATACCTACAGGTGATAATACTGCACATAATAAATAAATTGTAATTAAATAAGTGTTATGAAGTGAAAACTCCATCTTCAGTTTTTATCTTTAAATTTGGTTTCAGTGTAATCATCATAAATAAAACATGCCCTCTTATTCAATCAACCATTACAACAATGCCCAGGAGTTTCAGTAAGACTTAAGTACAAACTGTATTTTGATCTTAGATATATAGAAGAGCATGTAGCAATCAATTAAAAGATGACATTATTTAGTCTTTTGTATCAAACCAATTAAAGGGATAGTCAAAGTTATTAATATCATATCTGCATAAGAACTTGTTCACAATCATGTGTTAAATCAATTCATTTCAACTGACCATCCAAAAAATTTTAAGAACATGTGATATAATTAAGAAATCCAACATTAATTAGCAGTTTTATCATTTTCATCAGTAAATGTGATCAACTGCTCCAGTGGTCTAAGTGGTTAAAGCATCTGGTAATGGGTTCAAAACCCAAGCCAAGTCATATCAAAGACTTATAGGGGCCCCAGGTGGCCGAGTGTGCCAATGTGAGCAGGTGAGAAAGCATGCCAGTAGCTTCTGGTGGATATGGTTCTTTCCAGGGTTTTCCCTGGTTCTTCCTCCATCATTTATATTAGCTGTCATGTATAGCCTATCCTGAAAAAAGGTGTTAAACATTATAACAACAAAATACTTATAAAACAAACAGTAATAGCAGCCACATTTGTTTGATGCTCAGCATTAAGAGGTTAGTGTTAGAAGTGGAAAAACAAGTTAAGAAGTTTATAGTGAACTTTTTGGCTGAGTTGTCTAATTCTCTGGACTGTACTGATCACAGCCACCTCACCTCTGTTCAGATGGTTTCAAGTCTCAGGCTTCCACTGGGTCAATGGTTCTTATTGAGGTTTTCCCTGATCACCCTTGGTAAATTACCCCCTTGTTTATGAGTTTTTGCAACTGGATGTACAAGAATTATTAAGAGGTTATAATTAATAATTTTAAAAACTGAGTTTCCAATATTTTCATTTCTCTAAATAAGTATCATTCTTTTTAATAATAAAAATAATGTTTTATTCCAGAACTATAGTAACACTTTACTGTATCTTCATTTACACAAATAAAATTTATGATATAGTGCACAATATTTTTGCTGGTACATATGTGATGTGTGTTGAAATTATCTTTCAGATTGTATATATTGAAAATAAAGGTAATTAATACAGTAAAACCAAGAACATCATTACAAAGAGTTATTTACTAAGAATTGTTCCCAACATGATTATTCATAAAGTATTCAACCACTTAATTCTCTGCCCCCACCCCACTGATGTCTATCCCAAACTTAATTTTTTAGAGGTCCTGCTCCAACTCATGCCGTTTCTTATGGTGCAGTCTTAGTTTATGGACCCAGTGGTGTGCAAGTTATCAAAGGAGAAGATTTATCATTGCATTTACAACAGACAGCATTTACTATGACCCTTCTCTCACCTCATTTACATATTTTGATATTTATATTAGGGTCACAATCCACTGCCTGTAAAAAAAAAAATTTGATGCAATTTGACATTTTCATAGCTACTTATGTGATTACCCAAATCTCCCATGTACATGCCATGAAATCAAAGGTCCAATAGTCAAGTGATGCCAACAAAACAACCCTCTCAAATGTTGTTGTACAGAAAAAATATTATAGGAATCACATAATGCTGATAGAAAAATGAAAGGTCACATAATTTTCAACATATTTATTCCAAGGGCAAACACCTGAAACTTGTTCCTCTTGCAGCAAAGAGGAGGATACCTCCTCAATCAACAAGCACAGAGCATGCATCAATGTTTCAGTTGATAGCACATGACTGCTGTGTTGACATGAGGTCAACTCACAAGTATCAAGTTAAATTTTGTTAAAGCTGTAAGCAGATTAAACACATAATGAACATTAAACTCACAATTTCAGCAAAAATAAATCATATCTTTCTATCAATTTCATGCAGTTATGGCTCAATGTAAGGTCCTTTAAGGTTGGTAGGCCTGCTACTAAAATGTTACCCTATGCCACTAGTGTGTGGTGTTGGTGAATTCCAACTTTCTGATAGGCAATGGCCTCTGCCCCCCTCCCCCCTGCACTCGAACATAAATGTCAAAACTAAACTGAGTTGGAAGCATCAGAGGAAACTCAGTAGTTCCAAGTTACACAGGTCATTTCAGTCTGAGTTGTGCATCAGCATCTGTAGCAATTCCAATGATGGCAAAAAAGATTTGTAGTTATATACTGATGTTTTTGCAGTAACAGTGATCAGTTTTACAGCAAATAAAACTAACAATACTTATTAAAAATTTGTCAAATAATAAACTTGCTTAAAATACAGCAGCTCCTCCAGTACTATAAACTCCATTATTTCATTATGAATGATGACCTTTAACCTTTAGCTAAGTTCCTCAAAATACCCATATTTTAAAAGTACCACTGAAACTTTACTAGCCTGAACTGCCTGGAGAGCTCTGGCTCTTGCTTGCAATGAGCCTTTAACCATGAAGTACAGTCTAATTGACTGTTTCCATCTCTGGCCTATACATGTTGTTACCTGGCCTATACATGTTGTTACCTGGCCCCTGGCCTATACAAGTTACTACAGCATTCGGCATATGAAGGCACCTTCTGAATAATTAAATGTCTATAAAATTTCTAGAAGGAGGTGAACATTTATTTTAAGATATAACTTGTGTGCAATCTGTTTCTCTGGAGAATTTTTAACCAGCATATGTACTGTTAATCAATGTAAATATCTTTTACTAACTAACCTAAATACCCTTTATACATGCCACTTGCATTATCCATTTTGATTGGGAACCTTCATATATTATCCTCTAACCAAAAAATAGATCTTATTTTTCCCCAGATATTACTGCCACCAGTCCTGTCAGGATAAAGAAGGCAGAAATCTATTTGTTGGTCAAATCACAGGAATCTGATATTTTAACAATTGAAATCTGTGACAAAATAAAATAATTATATCTGATCTATCAATATACACATATATGTATAGTAAAAATATTATTTCATGTTGTCACACATTTTCATTGTATTTTACTGATAAAACATCAAACTCATGTGGGCTAATATTTATCCAAACCATCTCAATTTTCTTGTCTTTTACTTTTACTGCTTGATAATCATGAACAACTTTTACTACATATATTTATCATATAACTTTTTTTTTGTGCCACTATTGATAATTTTGACATGATGTTATCTCTGGCATACAACTATATAGCAATAGTCACACAGGTCATGTAGGCATTCAACACCATCTATTTCAGTATTGGGTGTAATTTTTTAAAATTTTATTTTACATTTCTTCAAGTGGCAAGTATTCACTTCATTTGGATTCTTATACAACTGTATTCCTTATTAAGGTCATTATTTAAATGCCCGGAGAAGTGCATACAGCAAAATCAACATTAAAGTACATGTACATTTTTGGAGGAAATAAACCTCAAGGTGTGATAAAGAACTAATGGACTGAATATTGCACATTGTGATGTCATAATAAAATCTGTGTATGTTGATAAACAAATTTTGTACTACACTATACTGTGATGATTCCACTATACATGCTCTTTTTTTAGACCAAAGTTTAGTACATGACTACCATTGAAAAAGACCGTAGTGATCAATAATCTTCATCTAGAAGATTTATGTTGACAGTTAAGATGCAGATAATTCTATAATCAGGACTGAACAAACTCTGCTTAAAAAAATTAATTTTAAATTTTAAAAGAAAAATTTATGTTTAATTTAAGTAAATGTACATACATGACCCTAGCTACAATGGCGTAGCCTCAACTTGTTTTGTTGTGGTTGAGGCAATAAATTGATGCCAGACTATTTATGGATATTCTACACTATGGTATTAGTTGTTGAATGACAACGCAAGATGAAGAATGGATACTTGCATAAATTGCGGAATACAGTTTTTGTTGGGAAAATAATTGCTTCTTGGTGGAATTTCAAAGTCACCGGTAAACAGTATTTACTTTTAATGCGCAGAATTTCCGACTCAAACCACGCCATATTTTTTTACTTCGATCTGTTTACATTTCCAAATAAGGCATTAACATATGGCACACAAACGAGGCTGAGAACGTTAGTAGGCATTATTTAAACTAATATGGCAGATGATCAAAACAAAAATATCGGATAAGAAAGGTAAACAAGATTTTACCGCTATTTCTACAATGATTTGTGATAATTCCAGTATTAAATAAGAGGACTACTCAATTTATTTCATTATATATCAAAGTACATGGTCAAAATTGTTTATATTAGGCTAAAAAAAAGGTGTGAATCACACCAGCTGCTTCAGTGACACATTGACTCATGTTAGTACCCTGTCCACAAGGTAGGACTAAGGGTACTAATATTAGTACTAACATGACCCAAGTGACTTCTACAGTCTGCAGTTTTATCAATAAAGCAGGACTAAATTTCTGACATGAAATCACCTTAACTGTATTATTTTACAGTTAAGGTGATTTC